ACTCAACAAATTCCCCGAAGCTTTTGTAACACCGGTTCACATCTTACCGTCCAAGGTAAACAATCGTGCTCGACAACAGCACAGAAATTAGCCCAAGCCAAAACTATTTTGGCGCAGAGTGGATGAACAAAAAAATATCCCACGGTCAATTTCCCACGAGAAACGGAAACGTTTCCAAAACAGCACGGTGACCTTAAAGACGATAAACAACAGCAATCGTTCATTCTCACGTGAATTAATTTCACTGGGTTAGTGTAAAACATTGTACGCAGGATCCACGGATAATCATTTACGAATAGACTCGTTAAGGACTTTTATTAAAAGTTAAATCAACTGATTATTATGATTGCGTATGCAATATTGTATTGGGTGGTGGGAGTTTGCATGGTGTGGTAACATGGCCTAGCGGCAGCACGTTCTCCGATAGTTGCAGAGGGTCACAGTTCGAATCCAGCGGCCACCCTGGTTATTAATTGCATGTGTGTATAAACCATAATAACACTTCAGAGTGGACATTTAAGATCCCCCGACGACATTCCCAATATTAGGACATTGTGTGCCTGTGTATCGATCTTCGTGTTTGTGTCTTTCAAATTTCACACTTAACTTCTAACTTAGCAATCTATGAAATACGTATTCAACCAGGCTATGCGTTAATTGTGTGTTGACCGACTCTCTGTGTTGCATTACATTACATTTCGATATTTTGCTAGGTTATTTAATTTAGTGTGTCTTTCTCCCGCTCTCCTAATTTTCAAGCTTGCGTACCTTGCCGCCCGTCGTCCTACCCATTGACATGCTAATTTTTTCTCTGGCCCCTCCCTCTCTCCACCCCCACCCCCTCTCTCTATTTAAGGCCTCGTCACAGAGACATTCTCTCTCTGTGTGCCGATGTGTGTTCTATCTCTGTGTATCTTTGTGATATCTGTCTGCTTGTATGTCTGTCTATAGTTTTCTGGTTAGATTTTTGTTGCTATTTCTTTTATACCTGATGACGATTGCTTGGGTTGCAATCGAAACGTCGTATACTATTATTTAATTTATTATTTTATCTTTATACGTGACTTTACCGAAAGAACCAAAGAGTAATTCCTGCAGTCACGAAAGCTCCAAAATTAAGATTGAGTGGGTGAGTGAGAGCGAGCGAGCGAGCGAATGACTTAAATGTTGGTGGAGTTGATGGGAGTGGATGACAACCGTCACTCACCATCGCCATCCAGTTCCCCGAACGATGAATAGTCCAACACTGGCCTGGATCTGTAGGGAATAAAGACACGAGTGGTTTTTTGCCAAGTTGAAAATAACATTGTGCGCACGACAGTACAACGTCGCCTATCATCCGCCAAGACAAATTCGAATTCGCCATATTTATTTACACAGAAAAAATCCGATGAGCTATGAAGCTCTTGTTTTCACAAATGTCCAGTAAGGGGCACGGGGTAAGAAAGTTCCAACAACAAACAGGACAAAAACACGACACTAGTGCAACGTACAATAAAGATAAACAAGTCACCGAAACACAAATAAATACAACTAAACCATCCCCATCCTTTTTCGATTTAAAGCTTTCGTGACTGCAGGGATTCATCTTCTTGGTTCTTTCGGTAAAGTCTGCGTAGAAGGGAAATAATAAAATAATAAAAACAGAACACAACGCAGCCGTCCTCAGGTGAAGACCAGGTCTGTCGGGGAGACAGCGTCTGAATGACACACCACCAAGCTTGGAGCGTCTATCTAAGCTGGGTTGGAGGGGGGAAAGCGCCTTGACAAAATAATTTGCATATCAAGAGGAATTTTAGCATATTTATGGGAAATGCAGATATGCGATTAGTACTACTTGTGAAATGCGTAAGAGCTTTGGCGGGGGGTTTAAAGTCATATTATGCCCGTGCATTATGCAGGATTAGCAGCATCAAAGGGAGGGGAAAGCTCCAGAGATATTAACTTAACCACCCACACCCCAGTTGTAGTATTTTACCTTCCTTTTGCTTATTATGGACGTTCAAACTTCCTGTGGGCAGATGAAAATTAAGTGAATTATAAGCATCTTAAGCGTGGGCTGGTTTCATTCTAGGCTGCTGCTCCCTCGTGAATGGCAGTAGCACCTCAACCGGTCACTTCAAGAAGACATTAAACAATGAGACAGCCGATGGGCACATTCTGTAGAATTGGCTCATCATACGGAGGTAAATCTATCTAGAGTTAATTTTGTTCATTTACTCGTGAAAGCGTCAAAGTCTCAGGAGTAATTTTCAAGGCAGTGCTGCATTTTGGGACGGGCATGGCTTGCAATAAGTAAAACCAAAACATCCCCAGGTTTTAGGGAGTTTTGAGATCTCGGTGTGACTAATTTTCCTCAATACTTAATTTTCGATATGGTTATTCTGATGAAGATTGCTTGTGTTGCAATCGAAACGTCGTGGTTTGTTTTATTTTATTTCTAACAACGTGACTTTACCGAAAGAACCAAAGAGTATAAACGTTTTATTCTATTTTACCCGGTATGGCCCCACTAAGCTGTGTAGCTCTTCTTCTTGGTTCTTTCGGTAAAGTCACGTAGAAGGGAAGTAATAAAAAAATAAAAATAAAACATAATAAAATAATTCTCACGACGTTTCGGCCACAACGCAAGCAGCCGTCCTCAGGTGAAGACCAGGTCTGTCGGGGAGACAGCGTCTGAATGAAACAGCACCACGCTTGGAGCGTATATCTAAGCTGGGTTGGAAGGAGGGAAGGGCGCCTTGACAAAAGAATTTGCATATCAAGAGGAATTTAGAATATTTATGGGAAATGCAGGTATGTGATTACTACTACTGTGTAGCTCTTTTTCAGGAGCGACCTGGATATCACAAATGACAACTCAACGAATGTGGATTATCATCATCACGTGCACTTTTATAGCGGCAGCAGCCAAACACTCTGAACGCACGTTGATTCTAAATGTGAAGGGAAAAACCAGAGACAAATCCACGTGACCATGGAGAGAGACACGCAAACTCCAAATATACAGCAGCAGGCGTCAGGGTCGAACCCACGACCTCCTGTGTATCAGGCGAGGTAGTTAACATCTCATAGCCACCGTGATGATGATGAGAGACGCAAACTCCAAATATACAGCAGCAGGCGTCAGGGTCGAACCCACAACCTCCTGTACACCAGGCGAGGTAGTCAACATCTGATGAGAGAGAGACACGCAAACTCAAAAAATATAGCAGGCGTCAGGGTCAGGATCGAACCCACGACCTCCTGTACACCAGGCGAGGTAGTTAACATCTCCTAGCCACCGTGATGATGATGAGAAACGCAAACTCCAAATATACAGCAGCAGGCGTCAGGGTCAGGATCGAACCCACGACCTCCTGTATACCAGGCGAGGTAGTTAACATCTCCTAGCCACCGTGATGATGATGAGAGAGACACGAAAACTCCAAATATACAGCAGCAGCAGGCGTAAGGGTCGAACCCACGACCTCCTGTGTACCAGGCGAGGTAGTTAACATCTGATGAGAGAGAGACACGCAAACTCTAAAAATACAGCAGGCATCAGGGTCAGGATCGAACCCACGACCTCCTGTGTACCAGGCGAGGTAGTTAACATCTCCTAGCCACCGTGATGATGATGAGACGAAAGCTTCAAATATACAGCAGCAGGTGTCAGTGAAGGGATCGAACCCACGACCTCCTGTAGACCTGGCGAGGTAGTTAACATCTCATAGCCACCGTGATGATGATGATGAGACGAAAGCTTCAAATACACAGCAGCAAGCGTCAGTGAAGGGATCGAACCCACGACCTCCTGTGCACCAGGCGAGGTAGTTAACATCTCATAGCCACCGTGGCCCACCTATGGCTTGCTGGTGAGCAATTAAGGCACAAAACCCACACACCCCCCAATCAGGTCCGTTTAAAAACATAAATAATTTAATGTGGCTCAGGTAAACCGATGTGTCAATAGTAATTAAAGGGTCTATGTTTGGTATTGACTACTCATTGCTGATGTTTACTAAAAATCACGAAATCTCATGGGACCTCCTTTGCCAGTACCAAAATATACTAATAGGGTTTTTCCCCTTTTTTTCTGGCAACAAAACTGACACCTTTTGCAAGGAATCATGCTCACATTAACCACAATACTTGCAGTCAAATGCAAACAAAAACAATACTCTGATAATGTATGCATTGTCTTTGAAACTGATTGGTCCACACCAGAGACAGCTTTGCATTTGACCGCAAGTATTGTGGTTAATGTGAGCATGATTCCTTGCAAAAGGTGTCAGTTTTGTTGCCAGAAAAAAGGGGAAAACCCTATTAGTATCACGAAACCTGCTCTGTAACCTGCAATCCACAACAGCAGTTTGAATTATGAACATTAACCATGATATTACAGCTGCTTTATAATTGTATTCTTACTTTATAGCGCGGAAATTTTGGCACGTAACACAACACTCACTACAGATATAACAAGTTGATAAAATTGCATTAATTTACTGAATATCGCAAAACACGGCGCTTCATATTTGTCATTTGCTCAGACAAAACACAAGTTAACTTCAGCGAGTCTTTAACAACTACATATGTTGCGCAGAATAATGTACATACTGCAGTACAGTAAATATATTCAACAAATGCATCGTACCGAGGTGGTGGCATTTTCTCATAACTTTGACACGGATCGGAAAGGTGGCCTACATATTTACCTCAAAAACACTAAATTACAATTGATTAATTCATAATATTATGTTTTTGTTATTAACGCTAATTTACTGTGCCTCGGGCCGCCCACAAGGACCGCCGTCACTTTTGGCGGGAAAACATTTGAGCGGGAAAACAGGTCCGCGGCTCCTCATCGGCTGCGTTGCACTTTCGCTCTGACGTCATCGATAATTCGCCGCCATAAGAAACCCTCCCACCACCACGACCACCCGCTAACATAGGCAACCACGCACCACACGTTAAATGCGATAGAAAACAAACAAAAAAAATATCGCCGGCGTTATCTCGCACGGACGTTCGTCGTGCCGCCTGCTGAAACGACGTTAAGACTATTTTTAAACTAAACGAATTAATTCCGTTGCGAATCCGGTGACGAATCGGCAGTGCGGCAGCGCGCGGCGATCAAGCCGCTAGTGTTTACCCGAGATCATGTGTGAGTGTCGTGTGCGCGATTTCCTGTTTACCGTAATAATTTTAACATTTAACAGATTAACAGATTGACAGCTACCGTTTCTTTTTTAAACGTTCTAACTCTTTCAAGTTGCACATCGTCGTTACGTCGTTAATTTCTTTGCTGCTGTTGGGGGGTTTTATTTGGTCACAAATGACCTAATTTTGAGCTGTGCCCGTGCGAAAATGCTGTACGTTGTTGCGTTAATTGTATTAAATTAACCGCGGCTTATTGTTTATTCGCCTAACTAACGACAGCCGCGACTAGGGAGAACACGAGAGGTGTCCCCCCGCGCGCCTCCACTGGCACAACACAGAGCAGTGGTCGGTTTTGTGTACGAAACCGGCCCCGGCCATAGCAACGTGGAATTTTACTTTCCACCGGGTCAAAGGGCAGCTGCATTAGGGATAGAATCGACCCCGGCCATGGCAACGTGGAATTTCACCCGCCACTAGTTCAAATGGCAGCTGCATTAGGGATAGAATCGACCCCGGCCATGGCAACGTGGAATTTTACGTTCCACCGGGTCAAAGGGCAGCTGCATTAGGGCTAGAATCGACCCCGGCCATGGCAACGTGGAATTTTACTCTCCACCGGGTCAAAGGGCAGCTGCATTAGGCATAGAATCGACCCCGGCCATAGCAACGTGGAATTTTACTCTCCACCGGGTCAAAGGGCAGCTGCATTAGGGATAGAATCGACCCCGGCCATGGCAACGTGGAATTTTACCCACTACCGGGTCAAAGGGCAGCTGCATTAGGGATAGATCACCATTCGGTTTCGACTTGGCCAAGTACAGTAGTTCTACTGGTAGGAACCTCCTGGATACACCAGCCCACAGGGGATTATTGTGTCCGTCGTGCAGGGAGGAGTGGGGCTGGGTGGGGTGGGGCTGGTCACCCCGTGGTGCCCTTATAAAACTCAACGTTTATAGTGTATAGTAGTGTAGTGTATTGTACTGCATAGTGTAGTATATTGTAATGTAGTGTATAGTGTAGTGGCTCTTAACCTGGCGGTGCATGCACTGCAGTCTAACGGAAGCCGTTCCGAACGCAAGCAGTAGCTTGAAGCAAGCATTTATAGAGCCGCCCCTTTAACACATTCCTGCGGAGGGAGCTGGTAGGAACGTCGGGTTGCTCGGTCAATGGCCAGGGTCAACGGCGGCGTGGTGTATTCCGCAAATATGCCCGACTGTGAGGACGGGCACAAGCCGGCGTGAGTAGGTTAAACGTTGAGTTTTATAAGGGCACCACGGGGTGACCAGCCCCACACCCAGCCCCACCCAGCCCCACCCTCCCCACCCAGCTCCTCCCCACCCTCCCCACCCAGCCTCCAAATACTCTTAAACGCACGTGTCAAGACGATCTAGTGATGGGTAAATGTCGTTTGTGTTTCAGTCGTAAGTGAAATTAATCTGCGAGCCGTGTGAAATTTAAGTAGTGTCCCGTATCCATCCCACTGCCCGTAGGTTCCCCACCCTATGTGTTGAATGGTGCTACAGTATCCCCTCGTTATTCGGGAGGGAAACTATTCAGAGATGCTCGTGAACAGCCAATGTCACGGATAATGATATTGGCCTACGAATTAATGTCCTAAAACAAAAAGCGTAAACAAGCTATTCAATACATGGGAATTATAACATTAATTGGTTTGAATAAACAAAGTAAATAAATGAACATATAAGCTTTCGTGGAGGGTTACGACAAATTTATAAATAACGTGATCTAACCAAAAAACGTTGATTATGAAATGAACATAGTTAATAAATTAACTTTCCTTAAATTATGCTGCTAAGCATTATCACTTTATTCTTAGGTTTTTTCGGTAAAGTCACGTAGGTAAAAAATTAAGATTAATAAAAAATAAAATAAAAATCACGACGTTTCGGAGGCAACACAAGCTTCCGTCTTCAGGTGGAACAGTCACAGCACGATAGCTGTATCAAGTGAGAGAAATTCCAAGAAAAACCGTAGTTTTATATATACTGGTTGAGGGTGGGAGGAGCCAAGGTAAGCTTGTGTTGCCTCCGAAACGTCGTGATTTTTATTTTATTTTTATTTTACTTTTTATTAATTTTAATTTTTTTCCTACGTGACTTTACCGAAAAAACCTAAGAATATGAATCCTTGCAGTCACGAAAGCTTCAAATCTAGAATCATCACTTTATCTCGCCACTTTCTCACATCACATTCTCTCTCATCACTTTCTCACTCGTTGAAGTCATATCGAGTTCCAGGTGCGATTCACGGATAGGCAAAATCGCGGAGATCAAGTAGGCGAATAACGAAGTGAATACTCTACTCGCATCTTTGTTTACGCGTGTGTGCCGGTGCGATAGAAGCTCAACGTACAACGTACGTACATGTGCGTGCCCCCCTCCCCGTGTGTGCGTTGGGCACTTAGGGGTCGGCTACACGAGCGCCGCCATGGGGGAGGATGTGCCAGGCCCCGTGGCCGTGGTGGACTTCACGTTCGCGACAAGGGACACTCCGCCGCTGAGCGTCCCGGTCGGCCTTCCGCTCGCCTGCCCCATCAGCGACCTGCACAGTCGCCTTGTGCACAGCCACGCGCTGCCCTGCTATGCCGAGGACGGTGCGTGCCGGTTGGCACGGGCGTGCGTGCGTCGTAGTCCGTGAGACCTGGGATCAGATGTTTCGCTCTTCGGTACCCGCTCGAGCCATTCCCATTTTTCCGTGTGGTCTTTCATGGTCTTCATCTTCTTGGTTCTTTCGGTAAAGTCACATAGAAGAGAAATAATAAAATAATAAAAATTAAACATAATAAAATACAATTCTCACGACGTTTCGGCCACAACGCAAGCAGCCGTCCGAACATTCAGACGCTGTCTTCCCGACAGACCTGTTCTTCACCTGAGGACGGCCGCTTGCGTTGTGGCCGAAACGTTGTGAGAATTGTATTTATTATTTTTTCTTAGTATTATTTTATTATTTCCCTTCTACGTGACTTTACCGAAAGAACCAGAAAGATGAAGACCGTCAAAGACCACACGGAAAAATGGGAATCGCTCTAGCGCGTACCGCTGTTGGCATGAATGACGCTATCTAAAATGAAAGTTATTATTATACTTGGGAAGTGTAGGCCAGTTGGAACTGGCGAGTCTTTCGAGAAGGCCTAAGGAAACAAGCGGCATCCCCATCACCTCTTGACGTCTGCGTTACGCCGCTCCCCCTCCCTCTCACACTCGGCCTCACCCCGCCCCCCCTATCAGAGCTGTGGAAGGCACTGGGGGAGTTTGTGCGCGACAAGACGCAGGAGCTGTACGACCAGAGCGGAGAGCGCGCGCTCGAGGGCATCGCCCTCGCCTCCGACGAGGAGGTGGACGGCCTCGCGCGCGCCTGGGAGAAGGCCTTCCGCGAGGTGCGTCGCCGGGGCCCCGTTGCTCACGCTCGCCATCCGCCAGAGGTCGCAACCGGGTACCCGATACCCGTACCCTACCCGATACCCGGCTACCCGTACCCAGCCGGGTACGGGTAGCCGTTTGCGACCCTGGTGCGGCCGGGTACGGGTAGGCCGTGGGTCACTGGTGAGTCACCGTTTGTCACTCATTTCCCAACGTCTTGTCTCTTCTCACAATTCAAGTTCCTAGAATAAACCCACCCGCGCCTGCAACATGGCTTCATCCCAGAGGTCGCAATTGGGTACCCGTACCTGTACCCTACCCGTACCCGGCCGGGTACGGGTAAGGGTACGGGTACGGGTACCCATTTGCGACCCTGGTGCGGCCGGGTACGGGTAAGGAATCAAAACCCGTTTGCGATCTCTGCCGTCCGCACCCCCGGTTAGCACGGTTGGCTACGTACGGTGCGAAACAAGCTCAACATGCGTACGTGCTGTACATTCTCGCCCGTTGCGGTCGCCGCTACGTTTCCGCCGATTACAAAGATGGGTCACCACATCTCGCGCTTTCAGATGCGCTTCTGCGGCCGTCTGGAATGCTCTTCCGATATTTGGAAGACACTGGAGCTACGTACCTTTATACCTTGTGTGAAAACTAATCTTTTTAGAACTGTGTTTTAGTTTAGTAGTAGGTTTTTACCCTTTTAAACTGGTACAAAACCGACACCTTTATACAAGGCATCATGTTTGCAATAACCACAACACAAGTAGTCAAAAAAGCAAACAAAAAGAAGCAACTCTGATAATGATAATAATATGCACTGTCCTTGAAGTTGATTGGTCCACACCCGAGACGGCTTTCTTTAGAGCCTAGTCCCCATTGGTGTTGGATCAGATGACACTAGAAGGCGTACAACTCAAACACAGTGCAATATCAGAGTATTTAGAGCTCTCAATACTCTGATACTACTTGTGTTGTGGTTATTGCAAACATGATGCCTTGTATAAAGGTGTCAGTTTTGTACCAGTTTAAAAGGGTAAAAACATACTACTATATTTTGCCACTGGTAAAAGAGGTCTCATAGTGTAAATGTGTTTAGTTTGTTGTCAATCCACCGCACCTCCGTTTAGCACGGTTTGCTCCGGACGGTACGAAAGAGGTTCAATATACATTACCGATTACGCTGTACGCTAATAATTATTTGAATGCAATAATAATATTTGCATGTACAGGGCGCTTGCTGAAATTCCCCAAAGCAACGTACATCAGATCTCATCTCAACCAGTGGCAGCTGTCCCTTTGTGGCACAAGGTGACTCCAGCCTGCAAAAGTAGAGGTTTTCTCCACCAGCAGTGGCCTGAGCAAGCAATCACAGGGCTGCGTTATTAACCTGATAAATTCACGGACAAGCAGTTGACCTGATTGCGCTTTGTGAGTGGTAGTGGTGATGGTACCGTGCAGGGAGTGGTGGCGCAGTGGTTCGTGAACCGCGCTACGAACCCGACGAACCGAGTTCGATTCCCCGCTTTCTGCTATTAAGGGTGATGAACATTTGAACTGGCCCTGGGCTCCTGGGACCATGTTGACTCAGCCTCAAGTGAGGAGCTGTAAACATCGAAAGGCAGCTCCTTCATCGGTGTGCCGTGCCGGCCCTCGTAGGAGTTCGCAAACGTCACTTGCCCACCGAATGTCTGTTAAAGGTTAACGCGGTCTGGGGGATATTTGTCTACGGTGCCTTGCGGCGGAGCGCAGACCACGGTGGAGCACGTGGGAGCTGAGGAGGCGCGTGTGGACGAGGAGTTCTCGCGGGCGTACAGCGCTCTCATCCACTCGCCCGTGTCGCACACGCTGCTCACGTTGGAGCACCACTACTGCGTCAGCGCCGCCGAGATGCTCGCCGAGCGGGAGATGGCCCTGCAGCAGCTGCGCGAGAGGTCGCTTGCTCGCTCTCTCGCTCACTCTCTCTCGCTCTCTGTCTCTCGCTCGTTCTCTCACTCTCTCGCTTGTTCTCTGTCTCTCGCTCGTTTTCTTTCTCACTTTCGCTCGCTCTCTCGCTCGCTCTCTCTCGCTCTCTGTCTCTCACTCGTTCTCTCTCTCACTCTCTCGCTCGCTCTCTCTCGCTCTCTGTCTCTCACTCGTTTTTTCTTTCACTCTCTCGCTCGCTCTCTCTCGTTCTCTCTCGCTCACTCTCTCTCGCTCTCTGTCTCTCACTCGTTCTCTCTCTCACTCTCTCGCTCGCTCTCTCTCTCTCTGTCTCTCGCACGTTCTCCTTCTCACTCTCGCTCGTTCTCTCTCTCACTCTCTCGCTCGCTCTCTCACTCTCGCTCGTTCTCTCTCTCACTCTCTCACTCTCTCGCTCGCTCTCTCACTCTCGCTCATTCTCTCACTATCTCGCTCGTTCTCGCTCTTTCTCCCGCGCTCTCACTTTCTCGCTCGTTCTCTCTCTCACTCTCTCTCGCTCTGTCTCTCACCTTCTCGCTCGCTCTGTTTCTTGTTGGCCCTGCTTGGCCCCGAGCAAACATTCAGATGTCTAGTGAGGCCAGCGTATCATTAGAGTCAGAAGAATCAGAAGTTTATTTCCCGAGTAAAACCCATTGAGCTATGTAGCTCTTTTCCAACGGCGACTCGGCCGGTATGTCTGTGTGTACGTTGAACTGCTTTCACACCGTACATAGCCAACCGTGCTAATCGGAGGTCCGCGGAAAGGACAGAAAACGATGGGTTTCTGTGTTGGTGTATGGGTCTACGTGAGTCTACGTATGTTAAACTTCTTTCACATGTGCTAATCAGAGGTGCGGGTTGGAACGGCAACAAACTGAACTGCAAAAAAGCAGTTCTAGAGAAATTAGTTCTCAATCACGGTCTAGTTCTGGCTCGGCACGGTCGAAGAGCCAATGGAAAAAAAAATAATCCGTAAAAACTAAGTTTTTTACTATAAATCCTTTATATGCGTGGCATTGGTTTTATTTTATTATTCATTTCTGTTTTTCTTCAGTAAGAGTTTCATTTTTATCACATTGATATTTTAAATTAAATATGAAAAAAAAAAATTCCTAAAAAGTGGAAAATTTAGGAAAAAAAATTTCACGAAAATAAATTGTCACGCACAACGAGTCTGTGTGCAAAATGTCAGCTCGATTGGATCACGGGAAGTGGGTTAAAAAACGACCGAAAGATTTGCACGGTCGTAAGCGCGCAAGCAAGTAAGCAAGCAAGTGAACTTAATATAAAGGATTTAAAAACCGCACCCGTTACCGCGAGTGGCCCCCCGCGCCGGCCTGGATCGGGTACGCCAGTGAAGAGAGAAAGGGAAGCGTGCATGGTGAGCGACGGCCGCTATTGTTGATGACGTTGTCGTCGCTATCGTTGCTTGCCACCCGCAGGCAGCGCGTGGAGATGGAGCGAGCCATGCAGGAGCTGGGCAAGTCCCTGAGGGACGAGGATGTCAACGTTCTGGCCGTGCAGCACTTCGAGACTCAGCAGGTCTCGTGGCGGGGAGGGCGAGCGTTGGGGTGGAGCGGTTCAACACATTACAGTCGAAAGACACCTCGCTTAAATTCCCCGGCAGGTCAAAAAGAAACATGCGTCGCATCTCATCTCAGCCATTCGGAAAGGAACCCCTCAGTGGCAGATGTGCCTGTGTGGCACAAGGTTGACTCGGCACCGTCCTACAAGTGGCCATTCGCTTGGCGGCGGTGGTGGCTGAGCACGTGGCCTGTGATCCAGCGCTTTGGAGCCAGCGAGGGTTAGTGGGTCACACACACATTGGCTGTGACACTCCCTTCGACGTCGGCGTCGAAGAGGTGCCGTGCCCCCGGCTCGCCACGAGAATGCGCTCCGGCAGAGTGCGGACGAATATCATCCGTCCCTTCTGTGTGGGATCGAGTGTTGTTCCCTCGCACGCACCGTCTTCGGGTGATGTGCCTTTCCTCCCACATGTAAACTCTAATTGGTCCATTACACCTTGATACATAGAGGACTGGCAGAGCTTGGAGGTGGGGTGGGGTAGGGATTTGGCGCGTCGGCTCACCGCCTGGCTGCTGCCCTTCCCGCTCGTCTGTGGTTCCTTGCGCCTCCGAGTCGTCCTCTCTCTTTGGGAGCGAGCGAACGAGTGCCGTGCGGCGACGCTTACAGTCAGTTCTGCCATAGCGCGTGTGTTTTTTTAATGACGCGAATTGGATAGAATGCGATGAATGTATTGGAGAATTCCATTATTATAATGATAATTGTTTTTTTACCCTTTTATCTGGCAACAAAACTGACACCTCTTTTTACAAGGAGTCATGTTTGCATAGACCATAATAACTGCGGTCGGAATGCAAACAAAAAACACAACTCTGATAATGTATGCACTGTCCTTGAAATTGATTGGTCCACACCCGAGACAGCTTTTCTTAGAGCCTAGTCTCACATGGTGTTGGACATCTCTTTGTAGTCTTATTAGTAGGGGCCGATCAGGGGGGGGAGCGATCATGCTCTCGTTTGCATATTCCCACCCTGCAATGCCCTGTAACTGACTCAACGTCCGACGACCTTGGGCTGTGATCCTTCTCGTAACAGAGAGCCGCTTAGCTCGATGGGACCCTACCGGCGGATAAATTATAATAAAACATCCCGAGTCTCGAGCGAGGCTCTCCGTGGGTTCACGCGCGTGGTAACAACGCGTCAGACGTCGCACGCCGTCCTGAAAATGCAGCGTTTGGCGCGCCCGCTTTGCCCACGCAGGCGGTGGAGAGCAAGTGGAACGTGGAGCTGAAGCAGCTGATGGAGCTGCAGAGGCTCGAGTACCGCGATTGGGTCATGAAGGTGCACCAGGACTCAAGTACGCCGGACGGCAAGGCCGGCGGGTGAGTGGCGGTGGCGAGATGTTGGCTACCTCGCCTGGTATACAGGAGGTCGTGGGTTCGATCCCGACCCTGACGCCTGCTGCTGTATATTTGGAGTTTGCATCTCTCATCATCATCACGGTGGCTAGGAGATGTTAACTACCTCGCCTGGTATACAGGAGGTCGTTGGTTCGATCACGACCCTTTGCCTGGGGTTTATTTGGAGTTTGCATCTCATCATCACGGTGGCTAGGAGATGTTGACTACCTCGCCTGGTATACAGGAGGTCGTGGATTCGATCCCGACCCTATGCCTGCTGTATATTTGGAGTTTGCATCTCATCATCACGGTGGCTAGGAGATGTTGACTACCTCGCCTGGTATACAGGAGGTCGTGGATTCGATTCCGACTCTATGCCTGCTGTATATTTGGAGTTTGCATCTCATCATCACGGTGGCTAGGAGATGTTGACTACCTCGCCTGGTATACAGGAGGTCGTGGGTTCGATCCCGACCCTATGCCTGCTGTATATTTGGAGTTTGCATCTCACCATCACGGTGGCTAGGAGATGTTAACTACCTCGCCTGGTATGAAGGAGTTGGTGGGTTCGATCCCGACTCTACGCCTGGTGTATTTTTGGAGTTTGTATATTCTCTCCATGGTTGAATTTTATTTGCATGTGTTTGGGTAATTTGTTTAGCTCTTTTATACTTTGCACTATTATCGTGTTTTTGTATTGTTTGTTGTTGCAATTTTCTCTTACCTGCCGCTACTGGCCATCTGTGAAAAAGAGCTTTACAGCTCATAGGATTCCTCCGGCATCGGTAAATATTCTCATTCTGTCTTCGTCGTCCTCGTCGCCCGCAGGGACGACGTGGCGGGGCTGACGGGGCAGCCGCCCGACGCCGAGATGGAGGAGGGAGTGGCGTACGAGGAGCACCGGCGGCTAGAGGAGAGCTTCACTATCCACCTGGGTGTGCGGCACTGCTCGTCATCGTGCCCCACGGCTGTGTTTTTTTAAGCGCCGCGGTCGGGGGGGGGGGGGGGTGGGGGTGGCGGTGGTGGCGGCGGTGGTGGTGGCGGTGGTGGTGGTGACGGCACGTTGAGTCTGCCGGACTGCGTCCCGTCTGGAACGCTCTTCCGATATCGCCGTGGGCGCCACGGTGGCCAGATGTAAACTACCTCTAGATTTGAAGCTTTCGTGACTGCAAGGATTCATACTCTTAGGTTTTTTTTTCGGTAAAGTCACGTAGGTAAAAAATAATAATAAAATAAAAGAATAATGAATGAAAATAACTTGATTTACTTATTTTCATTTATTATTATTAGTAAATTAATTTAGTAATTTTCATTTATTATTTTTATATTATTATTTTTTACCTACGTGACTTTACCGGAAAAAAACCTAAGAGTATGTTAACTACCTCGCCTGGTATACAGGAGGTCGTGGGTTGGGTGGTCGGTCTGCCGGTTTTCTCGCGACGAGTTTGACCCCCGCTAGACCTGACTCGCTTCTTTCTGGTTGGGGTCGCGTACGCAGGCGCTCAGATGAAGACGATGCACAACCTGCGGCTGCTGCGCGCCGACGTGCTGGAGCTGTGTCGCCTGCGCGCCGGCTCGCAGGGCGACACGCGGCCCCGCCGACTGCACATGGCGCTATCGCTCTACTCCGCCGCGCTCTCGGGCCTCGTGCTACTCGTGGACAACCGCATCAGCTCCTACAGCGGCATCAAGAAAGGTGGCGGTGGTGGTGGTGGCGATGGTGGCGGCATGTTGAGCCTGCCGGACTGCGTCCCGTCTGGAACGCTCTTCCGATGTTACCGTGGGCGCCACGGTGACCAGATGTTAACTACCTCGCCTGGTGTACAGGAGGTCGTGGGTTCGGTCCCGACCCTGACGCCTGCTGCTGTATATTTGGAGTTTGCGCGTCTCTCTCTCTCCGTGGTCGCGTGGATTTTTCTCTGGGTCCTCCGGTTTTTCCCTCGACATTTAGAAACGTGCGTTGAGGGTATTTGGCTGCTATTAATTTCCGTGTAATGAGCCACTTCGCTGAACTATGTAGCTCAGTGGGACTTTACCTGCGAAAATAAAAAAATTGTTAAAAAATAGTAATTAGGAAGCAACTGGAGCTCTGCAATTTTAAATTGAAAACCTTTTTGTATGACTGCTTTTTGTGTTTAATTTGTTGTCCTTCCCCCGCCCCTCCGATTACCACGGTTGCATAACGTACGGTGCGAAAGAAGTTCTACATACATAGATACAGCACTCGCCCCCCATCGGCTGTCTTGTTGCAGGCTAAAACGGGGTTGCCTACCTACACCTTTGTTTTCCCGACAGAGTTTGCGACGGTTTGCCAACAGTCGACCGATTTTCACTTCTTGGAACTCGAGCAGCAGATGAACGACGTTCAGGAGGTGGTGTTGGCCGTCAACACGTTTCACGGCAAGGATAAGAAGGGCACAGGTGAGGTGGGGGTGGGCATCGTGGATTTTCTGTTTTCTATTTTCTGTTTGCACTTTTTTGTTTGTTGTAGTACAGAGTTAGACTGATGGCTTTAATCTAAGTTGTCTTGTGGTTGTTGTTGTTGTTGTTTGACTTGCATTCCACTGTGATTTTTGCACACAGCGTTGGTGTACGGTGCTTATTCTGCAATATTTTGCTGTCTTTTCTTGGATTCTCTATTCACACTTAGTCACATAGTCACTTTAAGATGTTTCTTGTTCGTGTTTTTTGTTTGTTGCGGTTGCACCCGATTCAAGAGCCGAATGGCTCACAGGGCTATACCTAATAATAAATGAACCATTGCCGTGTTCCCCAGAGCATCGCCTCTCATTTGCTGGGCTTTGGTGGTTGTGCTGCTCGTAGCCTGTCATTAAAAATAAGGGGAGGCTTTCAACCCTTTATGGCAAATAAAATAGGAGTTGTGTTGAGATGCGCACACACCGAATAGACGCACATGACCTCATCAAGTCTGCATTAACAGCACGTACTTGTTGTGAACATGCAAACGAACATGCCTCTGATAATTATATATGGAATTGTCTTTGAAACTGATTGGCCGACACCAAAGATAGCAGCCTTCTTTATGGCCAAGTCTCACCACCAGTGTCAGACCAGAGAACGGCAAAAGGCGAAGCAGCACAAAGACAATGCACGTATCAAAGCATGCATAGGTCGGGTTGGGCAGTTATATCTACGGGACCTTTTTGCTAGTATCAAAGTATGCAAAATAAGAATAGGTGTTGACCCTTGCTGGCAATGAAACAGGAGGTTTTAAGATATTATATTCTTGGTTCTTTCGGTAAAGTCACGTAGAAGGGAAACAATAAAATAACAAAAATATAAAACAATAAAATTCCCACGACGTTTGGACTGCAACACAAGCAATCTTCCTCAGGTGTGAAAAACACAGCGAGGAAATTTGTTTTTCACACCTGATGATGATTGCTTGTATTCCAGTCGAAACGTCGTGAGAATTTTATTGTTTCATATTTTTGTTATTTTATTGTTTCCCTTCTACGTGACTTTACCAAAAGAACCAAGAATATAATATCTTAATACCTCCTGTTTCATTGAACAAGAAGCCCATCACATAATATAATATAATACATAGATGAAGGAGATGCATTGCCTGCTTATTTTATTTTGTTACTTGCGGTCTCCGCAACGACGTTAAACGGTCGCGGGATTGTGTCCGGTTGAATTTCAAGAGTCCTTTGCCCGGAACGGAGGCGCGGACGACAAGAAAAACTCGGAGAAGAATCCACAAAACATCTCGCCAGGTGCAGTCTGCCAGCAGGGCGCTGATGTTCCTGTGTCGTTTTACCTCTTCATAGAGTAATTTTTCCGTAATTTTTCCATAATTTTTCCATAATTTTTCACACGGTCGGCGCAAACATTTTGACGGCGATGCCGGCACGCGTAGAGTAGGCCCGCCCTCTTTAAAAAAAATTACGTCACGGGATCTTTCGCATCAGTTATTAACCGGTGGCGGCCTCCCGGTTTTGCAAACGCCCGGCCGCTGAGGGGGGGGGGGGGGGGGCCGAGTGTCGCCTCGTGCGACGCCAGCGCCACCCCCCCCGGTGCCATCGCCGTCGTGATGGCGCGACCGCGGCGTGCCTCTCCTCCGCAGGGGAGTTCTACATCACGCGGCACTCCAACCTCGCCGAGGTGCAGGTGGTCTTCCACCTGTGCGTTGACGACGGCGCTCGCTGCGGCGCCATCACGGCCCGGGACCCGGCCATCATGGGCCTGCGCAACATCCTCAAGGTGAGCCGGGAGGGCGGGTGGGTGGGTGGGCGAATGGTGGAACGGCCCGCCCAACGGAGGGAACGCTTGGAGCCGTTGAAGACGCGGCATGGTTGGCTACGTACGGTGCGAAAGAAGGTCAGCGTACATGCATATGTAGACTCACACAGAGACCCATAGATTCACGCAGAGACCCACAGACTCGCGCAGAGACCCACAGACTCAAACGGAGACCCACAGACTCGCACAGAGACCCACAGACTCAAACAGAGACCCACAGACTCGCACAGAGACCCACAGACTCGCACAGAGACCCACAGACTCGCACAGAGACCCACAGACCCGCGCAGAGACCCACAGATTCGCACAGAGACCCACAGACTCAGAGACCCACAGACTCAAACAGAGACCCACAGACTCAAACAGAGACCTACAGACTCAAACAGAGACCCACAGACTCGCGCAGAAACCCATAGTTTGTTGTCTTTCCCCCGCACCTCCGATTAGCACGGTTAGCTACGTAGACTGCGAAAGAACTTGAGCATACACACGTACATACGACGCAGGGTGCCGCGTGGATACACGTTCGCCGCTCATGTTTTGCCTTGACGGCGATGCCATGCTGCCCCTCCGCTGTAGGTCTGCTGCCACAACGACATCACCAACATCACCCTGCCCCTGCTGCTCGTCCACGAGATGTCCGAGGTTAGTCTTAGCCAATGGGAGCGCACTAGGGGTCACGGGGTGTGGCGGGGCAGGGTGCGGGCGGCGTGGGTAAAAGCTAACGGTTAATATGATGAAGAAAAATAAGAATATGCTCTACCCGTTTTGGCAATAAAGCAGTAGGTGTTAAAATGCGCACGCACCAAATAGACGCACACCTGTTTCAAGGCATCAAGTCTGCATTAATCAAACATACGTGTGGCTAAGCATGCAAACAAGCACGCTCTGATAATGTGTGCATTGTCTTCGGAACTAATTGGCCTACTTCTAGATTTGAAGCTTTTGTGACTGCAAGGAATCATACTCTTAGGTTTTTTCGGTAAAGTCACGTAGGTAAAAAATAAAATTTTAATTTATAAAAGTAATAATAGAAATAAAATAATTTATTTTATAAATTTAAATTTTCTTTTTTATCTACGTGACTTTACCGAAAAAAACCTAAGAGTATAATTGGCCTGCACCAGAGACAGCTTTCTTTATGGCCTTGTCTCACTAGTTCGACCTGTACAATGCCACTACAAATATCAAAGGATGAATGGCTCGGGTTGAGCAGTTACATCATTTTGATACTGGCAAAAAAACATTTCCATACTGGAAAAAAGGTCCCATAGGTTTATATTATGGTCGTTAAAATCGTTTTTTTTTTGGCATTTCCGCTAGCAGAATTCAAAAATACATCAAGAAAACGGTAAAATAACGGTTACCGGTATTGCCGCACGCATTAGAGTGCGGTGTCAACTTTCAACGCAATGCGGCGCCGCACGCAAGCCGCTCCTCGCTCTCGCAGACAGAGAGGGAGAGAGGGCGACTGAGGAGCCGGGAAAGAGGAACCACGGACGAACGTGAAGGCAGCAGCAGAAGCTGCTACTCGCTAACAGCCCTTGCCCCAACAGTCTGTTAATGTCTTTTGTGTGGGTCGCGGCTTAGGAAATGACCGTCTCGTGGTGCCTGAAGAAGGCGGAGCTGGTCTTCAAATGTGTGAAAGGTGACACGGACGCACTCGGCATGCGGCATCGTTGGGACATTTGTTTTAATTTTTTTTAATCGAGAACCCAGAATGCAAAGTAGATTTTGAAAGGGCGGGAGGTGGGGTGGGGTGGGAACAAACCCAGGCGCTGATAAGTTTCCACGTGGTGATGATTCTCTCTCTTGAGCAGTGGTCTTTATCCTTTACAGCAGCCTTGCACCACTTTGGTTCTCAATCGTAAAAAAAGTACAATTCTAGATTTGAAGTTTTCGTGACTGCAAGCTCTTGTCCACTCCAGCAAATTATTTCTTGCTGTGGCTGTCCCACCTGATGACGGAGGCTTGTGTTGCTTCCGAAACGTCGTGATTTAATTTAGTTTTTTTATTTTATTTTCACCTACGTGATTTTACCGAAAGAGCCAAAGAGTATAAAAAGTACAATGTTAATAACGACAAAGAGGGTTTGATGAAACAAAGTAATTTGTTACTTACGCGTCCGTGCTTAATTTGTGTTTTCGATTATTTACCTTCTAAAAAAATCTGGCCGTGTCTTGCACCCTTCAGAAAGGGCATCTCGCACCCCCAGGTTAATAACCGCTGGTGGGGTGTATAACAAATACGTCCAAATCACACGTCCAAGTTGAAGTCTTGTGAGTCACGCGATAGCTTCGGGAGTAGCCGCGACTAATACTGCTCAATCTTGCCGGAGAGCAGGCATAGCGATGCAGTTATTCGCAATATCTGTTTTGGATTTTGTCCCTCTCGACTCTCCTGGCTCTCGTCCCGCTGACGCGCGACAAAGTTGCGACGGGAAACTGTCGCGTGTCTGCTGAATTTATTTAGCCCGTGAGAATTGTTCCACAACTTTCACCGGGTTAGCGAGCGGAAACGGTCGTAATTAGCACGTTGTCGAACGTGAGGACGGCTGCTTGCGTTGTGGCCGAAACGTCGTGAGAATTTAATTTAATTGTTTTATTTTTATTATTTTATTCCCTTATACGTGACTTTACCGAAAGAACCAAGAATACGTTGTTAAACGCTTTGCACCCGCGTGGCAGCTTAATTTGTTTGGCGGGTAGCGGAGGATCTTGGCAACACCCGGCTTGACCAGGTCGTTACGCGGCCTAACTCAAAATATTAATTTCCAATCAAAACTTATTATTTGATCACCTTGCGTTTCCCGATTTCCCGGGACGCCGTACATTTGATTATAAAAAAAATTTCTTCTACTTCGAATGACCTCGTTTGTCGCGCTGTTGCTCTGCTGCCCGCAGGGTTCATGATGGAGATGGCCTCGTGGGACGGGGGCGTCTCGCGCACGGTGCAGTTCATCGTGCCGCAGGTAACCACGCCGATCGGTTTATGCCGCGATTCAGCGTTGACCGCGTCGATTGCCGTCACGTATTTGCCCGTCAATACGTTTTACTGTCAAATGTTTTTATCTGTACCAGGTAATAATGCCCACTGAGCTATAGTACGAGCTCTTTTTCAGAAGCGACCCGGCTATCACAAATGATCGCTCAACGAAGTGGCTTCTCATCTGGAAATGTATACGGGCTCAAATACTCTAAAACGCACGTTGATTCTAAATGTGGAGGGGAAAGCCGTGACCACGGGGAGAGATAGAGAGAGGCGCAAACTCCAAATATACAGCAGCAGCAGGTGTCAGGGTTGGGATCGAATCCAAGACCTCCTGCGTACCAGGCGAGGTAGTTGACATCTCCTAGCCACCGTGATGATGATGAGAGACGCAAACTCCAAATATACAGCAGCAGGCGTCAGGGTCGGGATCGAACCCACGACCTCCTGTCTACCAGGCGAGGTCGTTAACATCTCCTAGCCACCGTGATGATGATGAGAGACGCAAACTCCAAATATACAGCAGCAGGCGTCAGGGTCGGAAGAGAACCCACGACCTCCTGTACACCAGGCGAGGTAGTTAACATCTCCTAGCCACCGTGATGATGATGAGAGACGCAAGCTCCAAATACACAGCAGCAGGTGTCAGGGTCGGGATCTAACTCACGACGAAGAACCGAGTTACTTCTTGAAGGGTGACATCCTCCTGCCTCTGCATCTGATAAACGGTCCGATTCCTGTATTGATGTACGTACGTACGTATGTTGAACTTCTTTCGTACGTAGCCAACCGTGGCTAATCGGGAGGTGCAGGTTTGAGGATGGAAAACCGAATGCAAAAAGTAATTCATGTAAGTTAATTAATAAAATTTGTTAAGTTTGATTGGTTTGGGCAAAAAAAACCTAGTCCACTTTTTTTTCACCCGGGCGACTTTGGCGAGGAATCATCCCTATTGCGACGGGGGAGATCTTCGCACGACGTTATTTCAAAGGTGGTCCGTGGTGTCACCGTTGCAGGGCCTGTCGGAGGAGGTGTTCTTCCAGCTGAGCGCCATGCTGCCCCAGATCTTCCGCGTCTCCTCGGCGCTCACCCTCACCTCATCGCGGCAGAAGTGACGGAGGGCCTCCGTCCGTCCCTCGGATGTGTTTTCGTGGGTCATGCCACGTGTTGTTGTTCGGCACGACGTCCGACGTTTCGCTCCACGTAGCTCGTGTGTATGTACGTTGAATTTCTTTCGCGCCGTACGTAGCCGACCGTTGCTGATCAGAGGTGCGCGGGGAAGGACAACAAACTAAAACAAATTATGTTGATCTTTCGCACCACCATACGTTGCCGACTGTGGCTAAACGGAGGTGTGGGTGGAAGGACAAAAAACGAAACAATGTATGTTGAACTTCTTTCGTACCGTACGTAGCCAACCGTGGCTGATCGAAGGTCTGGGGGAACGGACAACTAAACACAAAAATACGACCTCCCTCACCTGGTATGCAGGAGGCCGTGGACTCGATCCCGACCCTGACGTACATTTGGAGTTTAATTTCGATTTAAAGCTTTCGTGACTGCAGGGATTCATCTTATTTTATTATGTTTTATTATTTTATTACTTCCCTTCTACGTGACTTTACCGAAAGAACCAAGAACATTTGGAGTTTGTGCATCTCTCTGTCTGTGGTCACGTGGATTTTTTTTCTCCGGATCCTCCGGTTTTTCCTTTCACGTTTAGAGCCAACATGAGTGTAGATTATTTGGCTGCTACCATAAATGTCCACGTGGTGATTAGCCACTTCGTTGAGCTTATCATTCGTGGTCAAGTTGCTAGACAGCTCAAGTTGAGTTTGTATGTATAGTTTTCGATTTAAAGCTTTCGTGACTGCAGGGATTCATCTTCTTGGTTCTTTTGGTAAAGTCACGTAGAACGGAAATAATAAAATAATAAAAATAAAACATAATAAAATACAATTCTCACGACGTTTCGGCCACAACGCAAGCAGCCGTCCTCGGGTGAAGAACAGGGCTGTCGGAAAGACAGCGTGGCTTTACCGAAAGAACCGAGAAGATTTGTATGTATATGTATGTTGAACTTCTTTTGCGACGTGCGTAGCCAATTGCAGGTGTGTACCACGTGCACCGGGCGACGCAGGCGGCGTCGATTCCTCGTGACACGCGATATGCCACGGGTAATCGACCCGAATGAATTGGCAAACTGAAACGGATCGATCGACGCACGGCTACCGGCCTGTGCTGGGGATGTGAGCGTGCGTCTGCAACGCGAGGAGCCGGTGGCGTCCTGCGGGCTGTGGGCTTGCGTCTTCCTCCTCTTCAAAGGGAGACCTCTCCGTGGCAAGCGGTAAAGCGGAAGCCATGATGAACCAGAACACGAGGGTTGTATCCTCTCAAAATATTTAATTGACAGGTCATCAACATCGTCGTCGTCGTCATCATCACATGCTCAAAACATTCAATAAATAATTTTCAAACGAAAACGGCAAAGACAAACTTGTTTTGTTTTCGACAGTGCAGAAGAGAGATACCTTCATAAACGCCAGACTAGCTTTATCACAGCCTGATGAAGCTGGTTGTAATTACTGGCGAAACATCGTACTCGGATTGTAAATGTTGTGGATTTGCTCTCCAAACACAACCGGTGTAGCTGTACTAGTGACGAATTGGCCACGTTCTGTTTACGTGACAAACCCCTTAGTAATTGGCTGTGTCCGGTGTTGGCGGGTTTAACGACACGTTTATATATTTACGCGATCTCACTCAAAACAACCTGTATTGTGGATGATATTGGTCGCGAAAGCCTACTCCGTGTTAAATCGTTCATCCCGTCAGGGGAAGCGAGTGGGGCGCTTGGGCAGGACGCGTCTTGGCTAAAATGGACGATGATGTACGTGTCTGTGTCTGTATGTTGAATCGTACATAGCCAACCGGAGGTGTGGGATGGTCGATGGCCCCCGATAAATAATCGGGGGGGGGGGGGCACGGGATTTGAAGCTTGAACCTCCACTTAAAAGCAGCGAATGCCCAACCGTCCGACGGCGCCACGATCCAGCAACAGCGTCAACAACAACAAATGCCAACTTCCGGAGCTTCGCGTAGAAATAACAAAAACACATTTTCAAGTCTTTCAGCCAAAGCGGGCTTCCAGATTCGTGTTAAGCCAGCGACCATTCCGTTTAAGCAACTTCCTAGGCAATTTGCCCCCTCCATTGCCAACACCTTGTGCCACAACGGCGGGTAATTCGCACGCGTGAAATGGGAATTCGCTTATTCTCGTCCGGCGCGTGCATCGCGAGCGTATACGAATTCCCAGATGTCGTGGGGACCTGGGTTAAGAGGGTGCGTGCGCGCGCGCCCAGGAGTCGGGGGGGGGGGGGGGGGTGCTGAGCAATGGCACGTGGGGGAAGACGCTGCCACTACTGGTCATGTGATCGTCGATTTGTACCGGCCGATATTGCACAGATTTCAGAGACTCGGCGAGTGATGCCCCCTCTCTCCCGCGCAGTGCATCGTCGTCACGGCTCGTCACTCCGAACGTCACGGTGACCTCCTCGCCGTTAACGAGGGCCCCGCAGCGACGCAGGAGCGAGCAAAACCCGTTACGCGAAAGTCGAGTGACGAAGAGGTCGCTCGTAATGAACGTGCCGGCGAAAACCACGTCGCCAAAATAGTTTCAAGTTTGATTCTCGCCTTGAACAGCCCGACCCTTGTGCGTGCACTGTCGCTCCACGTGCCTCACATATATACACGCGTATAAATATATAGAGCGGTTTCTGCGATTGATATACTCTCCAGCGTCATATGCAGAAGCCAGTCGGGGGCCACTGACGTCTCAGGAAGGCGATCGCGGTACAAGGGGAACGTAGCCCGGATACGATAAGGGGGTTGCTTTGTTGAGAGTGGAAATTTTATTTAATAATCGATTATTAGGTTTTTATTTTTGCCACTGGCAAAATTCGGCAACCCTCTATGGTTGTGGCTGCAGGGTTTTTGATCCGAACAATCTGCCTCGGCAGCAGATCACGCTTTCACACCTGATGACGGACGCTTGTGTTGCGCCCGAAACGTCGCTATTTATTTTATTTTATACCCACGTGACTTTACCGAAAGGACCAAAGAGTATGGATAATATTGGTTGTTAAACTGAAATGGATTTTTTTAAAGTATTCCAAATGTTTTGCCAACTGCTGTCCATGCGGAAAGCAGTTCACCAGCCCGTGTTAGAAAACGGGCCGCAGATGCAGATATTAAAACTAAAACCAAGATATTTTTTATTTTACTAAGTCAGGTCCACTGAGCTACAGAGTTATTTTTTAGAAGCGACCTGGCCACAAATGGTATCTTCAACGAAGTGGCTTATTACGTGGACATTTATAATAGCAGCCAAATACTCTAAACGCATGTTGATTCTAAATGTGGAGGGGAAAAACAGGAGAAAAATCCACGCGACCACGTGGAGAGAGAGAGAGAAACGCAAACGCCAAATGTACAGGTGTGGGGTCGGGATCGAACCCACGACCTCCTGTATAGCAGGCGAGGTAGTTAACATCTCACCACCTCGGCACCCACGCAACTCCTTCAAGTGACCCGTTTTTAACCACAAGCTCGGGTGGTGGCGGGAGGCAACACCAACCCACACACTCTGCTACAGAGAGCGATTCTCATCGCAAGGCAGAAAAAACGTCATTTGTAACTTCAGAGTTTCAGTCACATTTAGGCGACGTAGCAAGTGGCGATCGTCGCCGTTGCCTCGCGAGCCTCGCGAGAGTTGCCGAAGCGGATCGTGATCGACGCGTCGCTTGGCGAAGGCTTCCAGCAACTGCCCATAGACCAGTGGCGGGCAACCTACTGCCCATGGGCTTGCATGCTGACCTGGTCTCGGTGCGTCTAGGGTTAAGCGTGGGGGGTCACGATGTTACGCTCGCGGGCCCACTAAGCTGACGGAGGGCCCGTTCACGTGGCCCACCGACTCGTTCTGCGTTGCCCGTCATCGCCTGCCCTAGATGGATCGTGACCTTTATACGCTAGTGCTCAGGTTGCGGGCGGGGGGAGGGGGGTGGGTGGTGGTGCGAGCGTGTGAAGCGGGCTTGACCGGCAGTTGAACTCGATCCTTTTTTTTTTCTACATCGCCGGTGGCGGCTGCACCTTCGCCGGGGAGAGGTGGGAACTGCTGTGCAGCTGCAGGCACTGCACGGCGGTGGGGAGGAGCGAGCCGGCACCGTCGCCGCCGTCGGCACCGGCGCCGTCGGGCAGCGAGACGAGGAAGCGCGACACCCCCGTGTTGGGCGACACGACCAGCAGCCGCTGCCGCCACTCGGCGGGCACGGGGCAGCCCAGGTCCTCGGTGAGGTAGCGAACCCACTCGCGGATGAGTCCGCCGTGGGTGACTACCAGGACGTCCACCGCCGGATCCACCGCGGCGCCGGGGTCGCTTTCTGGGTTCGGGGGAGGAGACGGTGCGGGGGTGGGGGGGTGGGGGAACGTGTTCGGGTGACGGCACCGAATGTTGCGAGGATGATGGCCGGCGCTAGCACGGACACCACCTCAACTAAAGTATAAACTATTTTAACACGCTTTTATTTAACTCACTACGTCTGTTGTTGTATCCTAAAATCTTGTAACTCAATTTCAACCGTACTCCCAATGTCGTATCGTATCGACTGCAAACTTGGTGTAGCTATGTCACATTGATGACAATACTATATTAGTATATTCTATCATTAAAAATTAAAAACATATTTTTAAACGATCTTTTGTACGGCTCTAATTGTCCACGCTCAACTCACGTTGTCTGTAAATCACCACGTGGTCCCTTACGTCACGGCAAGCCTCGGGGAGCCACGCCGAGGGGCGGGGGATGTGGAAGAAGGGGAGGGGCGATGGGGGAAGGGGGCAGGGGGAGGGGCAGCTCGGACAGTACATTTCATTAAAGCGTGTTTTTTTTTTAAATATTTTTAAATATTTTATTTTTATTGTAACTAAGTGACGCCCCGCTGAGCTGCGTAGCTGTTTTTGCAGGAGCGGCCTGGCTATCACAAATTATATCTCAACGAAGTGGCTGATCGTGTGAGACATTGATAGCAGCCAAATCCTCTAAAACGCGTGATTTTGATTCTTAAAGTGGAGGGGGAAAAACCGGAGAAAAATCCACAAGCCACGGATCGAACCCACGACCTCCTGTACACCAGGCGAGGTAGTTAACATCTACTAGCTACCGTGATGAGAGAAAGAGAAAATGCAAACTCCAAATATTCAACAGGTGTCAGGGTCGTGATCGAACCCACGACCTGTATACCAGGCTAAGTAGTTAACATCTCCTAGCCACCGTGATGATGATGATGAGAGAAAGAGAAAATGCAAACTCCAAATATACAACAGGTGTCAGGGTCATGATCGAACCCACGACCTCCTGTATACCAGGTGAGGTAGTTAACATCTAGCCACCGTGATGATGATGAAAGAAAGAGAAAATGCAAACTCCAAATATACAGCAGGCGTCAGGGTCGGGATCGAACCCACGACCTCCTGTATACCAGGCGAGGTAGTTAACATCTAGCCACTGTGATGATGATGATGAGAGAAAGAGAAAATGCAAACTCCAAATATACAACAGGTGTCAAGGGTCGGGATCGAACCCACGACCTCCTGTATACCAGGCGTGGTAGTTAACATCTCCTAGCCACCGTGAAGATGAGAGAAAGAGAAGATGCAAACTCCAAATATACAACGAACGCTCTCACGGTCGCACGCTGCTATAAATACCGAGCACAGTCATGAGACCCCGTGAGGCTTTCCTGGGTAAACAAGCATATCAACAATGATTATTATCACTCCCACTACCTTTACTGCCATTACCATCACTATTACCATCATCACCACCACCACTAACAATGAAGACAAAGACCTCTCTCATAGCATCAACAGACTGTTGGGGCAAGTGCTTATAGCGAGCACCTATGAAGGCCGGCACGGCGCACGAGGGGGTGGGTCACCCTTGACTCCCCAGTGACGATGTTTACACACCGCACCAGGTACTCATTTGAGGCCGCATCGCGCTAGGGGAGGCCCAGGACCGGTACAGATAATCGTCACCGGTGCTGGTGGCCGTGAGCGGGAATCCAACTCGGGTCGCCGGGTTCGTAGCGCAGTGCCGCTGGCCGCCACACCATTGCTCCCCCAATATCAGTTTCAGTTTATTTATTAGGTATAGCCCTGTCACCACCATCACCGTTACCACCGCGGTGATGGCAGTGGTGGTGGCAGTGGTGGCGGTGGGTAGTGGTGGCGGTGGTGGTAGCAGTGGTGGTGGTGGCGGTGGGTAGTGGTGGCGGTGGTGGTAGCAGTGGTGGCAGTGGTGGCGGTGGGTAGTGGTGGCGGTGGTGGTAGCAGTGGTGGTGATGGCGGTGGGTAGTGGTGGCAGTGGTGGCGGTGGTGGTAGCAGTGGTGGCAGTGGGTAGTGGTGGCGGTGGTGGTAGCAGTGGTGGTGGCGGTGGGTAGTGGTGGTGGTGGCGGTGGTGGTAGTAGTGGTGGCAGTGGTGGCGGTGGGTAGTGGTGGCGTTGGTGGTAGCAGTGGTGGTGGTGGCGGTGGGTAGTGGTGGCGGTGGTGGTAGCAGTGGTGGCAGTGGTGGTGGTGGGTAGTGGTGGCGGTGGTGGTAGCAGTGGTGGTGGTGGCGGCGGTGGGTAGTGGTGGCAGTGGTGGCGGTGGTGGTAGCAGTGGTGGCAGTGGGTAGTGGTGGTGGTGGTGGTAGCAGTGGTGGTGGCGGTGGGTAGTGGTGGCAGTGGTGGCGGTGGTGGTAGCAGTGGTGGCAGTGGTGGCGGTGGGTAGTGGTGGCGTTGGTGGTAGCAGTGGTGGTGGTGGCGGTGGGTAGTGGTGGCGGTGGTGGTAGCAGTGGTGGCAGTGGTGGCGGTGGGTAGTGGTGGCGGTGGTGGTAGCAGTGGTGGCAGTGGTGGCAGTGGTGGCGGTGGGTAGTGGTGGCGGTGGTGGTAGCAGTGGTGGCGGTGGGTAGTGGTGGCGGTGGTGGTAGCAGTGGTGGTGGCGGTGGGTAGTGGTGGCAGTGGTGGCGGTGGTGGCGGTGGCTATGCCGCGTGTGCCTGTGGCCGTACCTGCCCGGCAATCCGAGGGCTTGATGCCGTTGCACGTCTCCGCGCGCCGGGAGGCCATCAGCGAGCAGAGCTCGAGGAAGAAATCCACCAGACGCGTCTTGAGCTGCGGTGACGAAGCAAAGAAAAATGCAAAGGTCCCCCACGCACCCGTGTAGGCTCTTAACAGGCTGCTGCTGCTGCTCGGGGCAAGTGCTGTTAGCGAGCGCGGCATGGCGCTCGAGCGGACGGTGCCACCACCCTTTGCCTCCCCGATTTTGCCGATGTGTTCGCACCGCACCAGCTACTCATTTAAAAGACCGAGTCGAGCCTAAGGGGGAGGGGGCCCAAGCAGCAGTTCAGATATTTTGCCACTGATGTTGGCCGTGAGTGGGAATCGATGGGGGTTGGGGGGAGGGGTCACATTGGCCTTAGGGAATTTTGCGATCTCGGTGGGAGTCATTTTCCTCAATACTTCATTTTCGATAGGGTTATTCTGATGAAGATTGCTTGTGTTGCGATCGAAACGTCGTGATTTGTTTAATTTTTCTTTAACTTCTAACTACGTAGCTCTTGTTCAGAAGCTAGCTGGCCGTCAACAATGATAGCTAAACGAAGTGACCTAACAACACGTGCAAATTTAGAGCAGCCAAACACTCTAAACGCGTGTTTATGAGTGTGGAGGGAAAAACCGGAGGACCCGGAGAAAAAATCCACGCAACGACGGGGAGACACGCAAACTCCAAATATACAGCAGCAGGCGTCAGGGACGGGATCGAACCCACGACCTCCTGTGTACCAGGCGAGGTAGTTAACATCTCCTAGCCACCGTGATGGAGATGAGAGATGCAAACTTCAAATATACAGCAGCAGGCGTCAGGGACGGGATCGAACCCACGATCTCCTGCATACCAGGCGAGGTGGTTAACATCTCCTAGCCACCGTGATGATGATGAGAGATGCAAACTCCAAATATACAGCAGCAGGCGTCAGGGACGGGATCGAACCCACGACCTCCTGTACACCAGGCGAGGTGGTTAACATCTCCTAGCCACCGTGATGACGAGAGAGACGCAAACTCCAAATATACAGCAGCAGGCGTCAGGGACGGGATCGAACCCACGACCTCCTGCATACCAGGCGAGGTGGTTAACATCTCGCACCGCTGAAATCCCAGGTTCGAGCCCCGGGTCTGGGGCGCCTCGTCGCCATGGCTACGAAGCCGTGGCGACGAGACGCGCACCATGGCGATGAGGTGCAGGTGTGGGCCAGCCGTCAGTTTGGTGACACTGCGTGGAGGTGACCCCCTCACCTGCTCCAGGGTCTCTCCCCCAGGCGGCGTGAAGTGGGGACAACCGCTGCCCGGCTTCCTTGGCCAGGGCTCTGAGCTGATCCACGCTGCAGCCCTCCGACGCTCCGAAGGACTGCACAAAGAGAACGATTCACCCCCGTGTAGCCTTTAACAGACTGTTGGGGCACACAAGATGGTGGGTGGCCAGCACCACGCCCAACCGCCTTTGTCTCCCCAACGGCGATGTTTATTACACATCTGAGGTCGCAAACGGGTTTTTATTCCTTACCCGTACCCGGCCGCACCAGGGTCGCAAATGGGTACCCGTACCCGGCCGGGTACGGGTTCCCGTTCCCTACCCGTACCCTACCCGAAATGAGTGACAAATGGTTACTCACCAGTGACTCACGGCCTACCCGTACCCGTACCCGGCCGCACCAGGGTCGCGAACGGCCAACCGTACCCGTACCCGGCCGGGTACGGGTAGCCGGGTATCGGGTAGGGTACGGATATCGGGTACCCGATTGCGACCTCTGCTACACATGGCACCAGGTACTCATTTGAGTCGACCTAGGGGAGGCCCAGGGCTGGTTCAGATACGAGTCACCGTCGTTGGTGGCCGTGAGCGGGAATCGAACCCGGGTTTGCCAGGTTTGTAGCGCAGCACGCTAACCGCTACGCTACTGCTCCCAAATGCACACACACGCACGTACATACACACACACGCGGGACACGCGGAATCACACCGGCACGTAGACACACGGAACCAGCAACGCTGAGCGCGTGGGGTCGAGTCCTGGGTCTGGGCGTCTCTCTCTAAATCACTCGTGGGGTGGAGGGGGGAGAGGGTTCATGATGCCCTTGGCACAAGCGCTGTTCCAGCACTGCTGAGAACACGAGTTCAAGCCCTGAGATGGGAAGGTTTCCTCCCTCCGATTCATAATAGCTGTGTGATAGACACCGAACCAGCGATGCAGAGGTGATGCATCTAGCCCTGGTTGTCGACGTGTCTCTCTCCGAGCAGTTACCACCCTGGGGCCATTATCAACGGACAGCAGTGGCGGCACGGTGGTGGCGGCAGTGGCGGCGGTGTCGGCAGGGAAACTTGCCCTCTCGCGCAGGCGCTCCTCACGCTGCAGTGGGTGGTCCCGGCAGTGATGGTTCCGCTTCAGGATCTCCTCTGCCGTCTAGACCACGAACCACGTGACGCACGGGGGTCGCGGACAGCAACACGCGGCAGGCAGAGGCAGTTATCCTGTTAAAAACTAAAACTATATTTCGATTTAAAGCTTTCGTGACTGCAGGGATTCATTTTCTTGGTTCTTTCGTTAAAGTCACGTAGAATGGATATAAAAAAATAATAAAAATCAAACAATAAAATAATTCTCACGACGTTTCGACCACAACTGAGGATGGCTGCTTGCGTTGTGGCCGAAACGTCGTGAGAATTATTTTATTATGTTTTATTTTTATTATGTTATTATTTCCCTTCTACGTGACTTTACCGAAAGAACCAAGAAAAATTAAAACAATATTTTTTTATTTTACCACTGAGCTATGTAGCTCTTTTGCAGAAGCGACTTGGGCCACAAATGATAGCTTAACAAAGATGGGCTGATCGTGTGGAAATTCAAAGCAGTCAAAATACTCTAAAATGCTTGTTTGTAAGCGTGGAGGGACAAAATCGGAGGATCCGGAGAATATTCCACGTGATCACGGGGAGAGAGGACATGCAAACTCCAAATATACAAGTGTCAGGGTTGGGATCGAACCCACAATCCTCCTGACCGCCGTAGCGCCGACCGTGATGGTCGGATGTGCGACGTTGCTCTGCATGGCTCTGGTCACCCCTGGGCCCAGGGAGCCTTGCAGCGCGTCCCTCGGGAAAGGGCAACTGGCTCGGTCGATGATTTGCGAGTAAGAAAAACCACGCCTACGCATGGATTACGTGGTATATTTTAGGCGCGGTTGTGTTCAGAACTATTTTACGAGCAGGTACGGATGCCGACGGGAGAGCTGTATGGACGTTGAACTTCTTTCGCACCGTATGTAGCCACCCTGATAATCAGAGGTGAGGGGGAAAGGCTCCCCCCCCCACCTCCAAACCACCTCCACCCCACCCCACGTATGTTGATTTTATTTTGCAGGAGGACACCCCCACCCCACCTCCAACCCCACCCCCCACCGCAACCTCACCCCAACTCCACCCCAACTCCACCCCAACCCCACCCCACCCCACCCCCACCCCCACCCCACCTCCAACCCCACCCCACCCCCACCCCACCTCCAATCCCACCCCACCCCACCCCACCCCCACCCCACCTCCAACCCCACCCCACCCAATCCCACCCCACCCCACCCCCACCCCACCCCACCCCACCCCCACCCCACCCCCACCCCACCCCACCCCCACCCCCACCCCACCCCACCCCACCCCACCCCACCTCCAACTCCACCCAATCCCACCGCACCCCCACCCAAACCTCCAACCCCACCCCACCCAACCCACCAAACCCGACGGCACCCCCACCCCAACCTCCAACCCCACCCCACCCAACCTCCAACCCCACCCCACCCAACCTCCACCCCACCCAACCTCCAAACCCACCCCACCCCACCCACCCCCACCCCACCCAACCTCCACCCCACCCAACCCCAACCCAACCTCCAACTCCACCCAACCCCAACCCACCCAACCCAACCTCCAACCCCACCCCACCCAACCCTAACCCACCCAACCCAACCCCACCCCACCCAACCCAACCTCCAACCCAACCCCACCCAACCCTAACCCACACAACCCCACCCCACACAACCCCACCCCACCCAACCTCCAACCCCACCCCACCCCACCCGGCTCACCTGCTGCGCCCGCAGCTGGTCACTGCTGTAGACGCAGGTGAAGGGAACGTGCTGCAGGGCAGCGCCGACAGCTGCCGCTTGCTCGAAGCCCACGTCCGACAGGGGCATGTTGATGCCCTGGCCTGCACCACCAACAAGGCACCTTTACATCAGCCGCACATAGTTCACACAACAAAGGCTCATTCCTAACAGCGTGCTTCAGCCGCACCGAACCTCACAAAAATAATATTCAGGTGCCTACCTTGGCTCCTCCCACGCTCAAACAGTATATGTACAAGGACTGCATTTGACTGCAAGTATTGCGGTTAATGTAGACATGATTCCTTGCAAAAGGTGTCAGTTTTGTTGCCAGAAAAAAGGGGAAAACCCCTATTGGTAAGGACTGTTTTCTTGGAATTTATCTTACTTGATACAGCTGTCGTGCTGTGACGGTTCCACCTGAAGACGGACGCTTGTGTTGCCTCCGAAACGTCGTGATTTTTATTTTATTTTTATTTTACTTTTATAAATTTTACTTTGAATTTTTTACCTACGTTACTTTACCGAAAAAACCTAAGAATAAGGCAGAGATCCCCAACCGTGTGAGCCTTTGAGCGGACTCTTGTTGCAATTGTATATGTGGATAAGATTGTGATGGGGGGGGGGAAAGAATAGGCTTTAGGGGCCGTCCATAAATGACGTCACGCGATTTTGGACGATTTTAGACCCCCCCCCCCTTAGTCACACGGCGTCACAAAAAGTCAGACCCCCCCCCCTCAACTATGATGTCACAAAGCTCTGCCCCCCCCCCCCAAAAAAAATAAACATGCTTCAAATCGCTTTAAACGATTGTCATTGTAGTGCGTATTTAATGTGGCGCTGCACTCTGATGTTGTAGAAGAAAACATTTATTAAAAAGTTTATTTAATTAAGTGGAACGTGTTGTCTATATTTATTTAAAGTTGCGCATTTTTACGTAACGTCACATTTCTAAACCCCCCCCCCCCATCGTCACACATCGTCACAAATCTGACCCCCCCTCCCCCCCTAGGTGAGTGACGTCATTTATGGACGGCCCCATAGAAGACTGAAGCCACCCGGAGCCGTCGCGCCTAGGAGTTGCCACACGTCCTCGCTGTCACCCCCAGGACCGCGCCAAACATTTCGTGGCGGCATCTCCAACCTGCACCGAAGCCGTCGGCGATTGCCCGGGAACGTCTACAAACCAGAGGTCGCAAACGGGTTTTGATTCACTATGAGACATCTCCTTTACCAGTGGCAAAATATAGTAGTAGGTTTTTACCCTTTCAACTGGTACACAAACTGACACCTTTATACAAGCAATCATGTTTGCAATAACCACAACACAAGCAGTCAAAATGCAAACAAAAAGAAACAACTCTGATGATGGTAATGTTTGCATTTTGACTGCTTGTGTTGTGGTTATTGCAAACATGATGCCTTGTATAAAGGTGTCAGTTTTGTACCAGTTGAAAGGGTAAAAACCTACTACTATATGGGTTTTGATTCCTTACCCGTACCCGGCCGCACCAGGGTCGCAAACGGCTACCCGTACCCGGCTGGGTACGGGTAGCCGGGTATCAGGTACGGTACGGGTATCGGGTAGGGTACAGGTATCGGGTACCCGGTTGTGACCTCTGCTACAAACCCACGCTTTCGTCGGGTTTGGGAGAGGGGGGGGGTAACCGATGGGATTCATCAAGTTTGGCTCCTCCGCCTCTCGCCGGTATCGTGAGATGTTCTCCTCGTTCTGCTGCTTCCCACGATGTGTCCCCCCCCCCACCGCCACCGCCACCGCCCCCCTCGGTGATTTTTTTGCATCACGGGAAGGTGGCAACCTCGGGTCGGGCCGACGTCTAAATCGGGCACTGCTTGGGCTGAGAGAACCTCGGTGACGGCCCCCCCCCCCCTTCTCTCCCCCCCCCCCCCCCCAATTGCCCAACTCCTTCCCCACCAACTCCGCCACCCCCCCAACTACACACCCCCACAACTCCCTACCCCCCCCAAATCCATACCCCTTCACCCAACTCCCCCCCCCCCCAACTCCCCACTCCCTCCAACTCACCACCCCCCCTAACTCTCTACCCCCCCACCAACTCCCCCCACCCAACTCCCCACCCTCTCCAACTTCCCACTCCCCCCCCCCAACTCACCACCCCCCTAACTCTCTACCCTCCCACCCAACTTCCCCCCACCCAGCTCCCCCTCCACACCCCAACCCCCCCCCCCAACTTCCTCCCCCCCCACTCGACTCCCCACCCCCCACTCGACTCCCCCCCACCCCCCACTCAACTCACCCCACCCAACTCCCCACCCCCCACTCAACTCCTCACCCCCCACTCGACTCCCCGCCCCCCACTCGACTCCCTCCCACCCCCCACTCAACTCACCCCACCCAACTCCCCACCCCCCACTCAACTCCTCACCCCCCACTCGACTCCCCGCCCCCCACTCGACTCCCCGCCCCCCACCCAACTCCCCACCCCCCACCCAACTCCTCCCCCCCCACTCGACTCCCCCACCCCACTCAACTCACATCCCCCCACCCAACTCCCCACCCCCCACTCAACTCCTCCCCCCCCACTCAACTCCCCCACCCCACTCAACTCCCCCTCCCTCAACTCCCCCCCCCCCCCGCAACCAACTCAATTCCTCCCTCACCGATTTCGCCCCACCGCTCCTTCTATTCCGAGCCCTCTGGTGGGGGGGGGGGTTATCCAAGCTGCTGTAAACACGACACCGCTGCACCACCACCACCACCCAGGCCACGTGGTCACAAGCCCGAGTCGGGGATATTCTTAGCGGATGCCTTTTATCCACAGCCGGGGGGGGGGGGGGGGGGGGGGCGCAAAGATGGCCGATGGCGAGCGAGCGATTTTACATTAGTTTTTTTTTAAATGCAACTTTCGATCACAGGCGCGGCGGGTCGTTTAAAATCCCTTGACACGTGTGCCGATAACACCGCCGCACGTGTGTGTGTGTGTGTGGCCTGAAAAGTATAAAATATATCTAAAATCGGCGACGTTTTGAGCAGTGGTTCCTTTTTCGAAGCGCATAAATGCTAGTAAGTTTTATGGGCCATGAATGGCCGTCGCCTGGAATGTCACTCCTTGTATATGTGTGTATGTATATGTATGTGTGTTATGTATGTGTGTATGTATGTGTGTTATGTATGTGTGTATGTATATGTATGTGTGCGTTGAACTTCTTTCGCACCATACGTAGCCAAACCGTTTAAATCGGAGGTACACGTGAACGACAATAAACTATGGGTCTCTGTGCGAGTCTGTGGGTCTCTGTGTGAGTCTATGGGTCTCTGTGGGAGTATATGGGTCTCTGTGGGAGTATATGGGTCTCTGTGAGAGTCTGTGGGTCTCTGTGTGAGTCTATGGGTCTCTGTGTGAGTCTGTGGGTCTCTGTGTGAGTCTGTGGGTCTCTGTGTGAGTCTATGGGTCTCTGTGTGAGTATGTGGGTCTCTGTGTGAGTATGTGGGTCTCTGTGTGAGTATGTGGGTCTCTGTGTGAGTCTGTGGGTCTCTGTGTGAGTCTATGGGTCTCTGTGCGAGTATATGGGTCTCTGTGTGAGTCTATGGGCAGAGGTGTGGACTCGAGTCATGTGACTTGGACTCGAGTCAGACTCGAGTCATGAATTTGATGACTTGAGACTCGACTTGGACTTGCATAACAATGACTTTGTCCCACCTCTGAGGTGTGGACTCGAGTCATGTGACTTGGACTCGAGTCAGACTCGAGTCATGAATTTGATGACTTGAGACTCGACTTGGACTTGCATAACAATGACTTTGTCCCACCTCTGTCTATGGGTCTCTGTGAAGTCTATGGGTCTCTGTGCGAGTCTGTGGGTCTCTGTGCGAGTCTATGGGTCTCTGTGCGAGTATATGGGTCTCTGCGAGAGTCTGTGGGTCTCCGTGTGAGTCTATGTGTTTCTGTGCGAGTCTATGGGTCTCTGTGTGAGTCTATGGGTCTCTGTATGAGTGTATGTGTCTCTGTGCGAGTCTATGGGTCTCTGTGTGAGTCTATGGGTCTCTGTGAAGTCTATGGGTCTCTATGTGAGTTTAAATACGTATGAACTTTTTCGCACCGTACGTAGCCAAACCATGCTAATCGGAGGTGCGGTGTCGTGTTGTTATTTTTGTGCTTGTGCACCACTGCCAACGCAGCAGCAGCAGATTCAACTGATAATTAGAGACCCATATGGTGGTGTGGGTGGTGTGGGTTATGGGGTGGGTGGTGGGGAGGGGGTGGTGGGTGGGGTGCATCTTATTATCCAGTAGCCGTGTCTGAGGCCCAGATGTGTACACGAGAGCGCTAAAGACAAGTTATGGTTGTGTATCTTTCATTCCCAGAGATGCCTTATAATCAACTAGCTTGACTACCCGGCTTCGCACGAGACTTGGATTTTTGTCTTGGATTGATAAGGGGGGGGGGGGTGCGTGACGTCAGCAGGCACACTGCGTGACGCAGCCGCATGCGGATGACATCACAGATGCGACGTCACCGCTCACTTGCCGTGCAAAATATACCCATTATTGCGCCCCTACTCCCCCCCCCAAAAAATACAAAAGTCTATTTTTATAATGTTTGCATTGTGTACAGTCTGGAAACTACCCACAAGCTAAATTTAAAGTTTGTTGCATGTCGGAAAGTATGCTAAACATTTCGAACAGACACACATATTCACACATTTCCCTTTTATATATATATAGATAAAATAAAATAACGGTGACAGAGCTTCCCCGACACTGCCTACAAACCACGTACCTTGGATGAGACGCTTCCTGTTGTACGTGGTCTCGCCACTGCAAGAGACACAAAGACAAAGATCGCCCCCAGTGAGGCTGAGTCGACCTCGGTGATAATCGTCAGTGGCGTTGACCGCCGGGTTAGAAGCGCGGCTAGCATAACCGCTGCGCCACCGCTCCCTACTACAGGTACAACATCCCCCCCCCCGTATAGCCTTAACAGATGTTTTGAGGCAAGTGCTGTTAGCAAGCAGCAGGCCGGCACTGTGGCACACCTGGGGGTTTGGGGGTGTGGACAGCCCCATGCCCGGCCGCCTTTGTCTCCCCAGTGGCGATTGTTTACACACCACCGCACCAGGTACTCTCCCGACGTTGAGGTAGACAGGCAGGCGTGCATGTGGGCAACTACAGTAAAACCTTGGATTGCGAGTAACTTGCAAGACGAGCAAAAATTGTAATTAATTTTAACTTTCGATTTAAAGCTTTCGTGACTGCAGGGATTCATCTTCTTGATTCTTTCGGTAAAAGTCACGTAGACTTTACCGAAAGAACCAAGAAGATAATTTTAACTTGATAAACGAGCGAGGTCTTGCAATACGAGCAGTACGTGCAGTCTACGCTTTGTCTGCCGAGCGTCACGTGATCACAACTGAGCAGATGGTTCGTCTCTCTATCTCTCTCGCTGCGGGATTGTGGGTAATCGTCTCCCATGCTCGGTCTCAGTCGGCGTGCCTCACTCGTATAGTCAACATCCGTGCGAGCGTACACTGTTTACTACAATATAGTGTTGTGACCACGTGTGTGTGCGTAAAGCATTTATTTTTATTTTGTGTCCAAGTGTAGCGGCTGTTCTTTAGTAACTATACTTCAAGTGAAAGTCGTCCAACACAATAACCCTCCTCAATTCTAGATTTGAAGCTTTCGTGACTGCAAGGATTCATATTCTTAGGTTTTTTCGGTAAAGTCACGTAGGTAAAAAATTAAAATTAATAAAAGTAAAATAAAATAAAAACCCTCCTCAACTCTCTCTCGTCTCCCTCACACCAGCCACAATTAAATGTAATCAATAAATTTGATTTCTTTATATTAAATTTAAATAATGAAAATATAAAAAAGTTATTTTGTATTAATCATTTTTATATGAATACAGTATTTTTTGGGTTGTGGAACGAATCATCCGAGTTTCCATTATTTCTTACGGGGAAATTCGCTTCGATGTACGAGTGCTTTGGATTACGATCACGTTTTCGGAACGAATTATGCTCGCTAATCCAAGGTTTTTTCTGCAAAAAAGTATGTGGGACAGACGGGCAGACTGATAGACTCTTTGGTCAGACAGGCGGACAGACATTATATATATCCAGGAAGGTAGACACATACGACGTGGACAGATAGGCAGATTTGCGGACAGCGAGAGAGACCGGCACTCCTGTACGTGAGCGGACAACAGAGGTCGCAAACGGGTTTTGATTCCTTACCCGTACCCGGCCGCACCAGGGTCGCAAACGGGTACCCGTACCCGGCCGTACCCGTACCCTACCCATACCCTACCCGTACCCGGCCGGGTAGGGTACGGGTATCGGGTACCTGATTGAGACCTCTGGGATGAAGCCATGTTGCAGGCGCGGGTGGGTTGATTCTAGGAACTTGAATTGTGAGAAGAGACAAGACGTTGGGAAATGAGTGACAAACGGTGACTCACCAGTGACTCACGGCCTACCCGTACCCGTACCCGGCCACACCAGGGTCGCAAACGGGTACCCGTACCGTACCCGGCCGGGTACGGGTAACCGGGTATCGGGTAGGTACAGGCATCGGGTACCCTGGCGGACAAGCATACAGTCATACTCTTTGATTTCGGTAAAGTTACGTAGGTAAAACAATCAACAAAATAAAATAAACGAAAACTAAATTAAATCACGACGATTCGGAGGCAACACAAGCTTCCTTCATCGTGATTTAATTTAGTTGTTTTCATTTATTTTATTTTATTGTTTTACCTACGTGACTTTACCGAAAAAACCAGAGAGTATGAATCCTTGCAAGTCACGAAAGCTTCAAATCTAGAAGCAGGCAGTCGTGTGGGTTTACTTGGCAGGTAACGGGAGGAAAAACAAATAATTGTTGAGGCAGACAGACAGACAGGCAGACAGACACGCAGAGAGAATTAGGATCAGAATATTTCAACTGCACGAGGAATCCGATGAGCTGGAAAGCTCTTCATCATAGAGGCACGGGCTAAGATCGTTACAACAACAAACAGTACACAAACACGACGGCCGTGCAAAGTGCAAGAAAGGTAAACAAAGCACACAAACACAAACAAATACAACACTAAACCATCTCCCATCATACCAGGCGAAGACCCGCTGTACTTTCATGTGTGTACCGCATGTACTGTGGTGGATGTACTGTGTACTGTGGTGGATGTACTGTGTACTGCGGTGTATGTACTGTGTACTGTGGTGTATGTACTGTGTACTGTGGTGGATGTACCGTGTACTGTGGTGGATGTACTGTGTACTGTGGTGGATGTACTGTGTACTGTGGTGATGTACTGTGTACTGTGGTGGATGTACTGTGTACTGTGGTGGATGTACTGTGTACTGTGGTGGATGTACTGTGTACTGTGGTGGATGTACTGTGTACTGTGGTGGATGTACTGTGTACTGTGGTGGGTGTACTGTGTACTGTGGTGGGTGTACTGTGTACTGCGGTGGATGTACTGTGTACTGTGGTGGATGTACTGTGTACTGTGGTGGATGTACTGTGTACTGTGGTGGATGTACTGTGTACTGTGGTGGATGTACTGTGTACTGCGGTGTATGTACTGTGTACTGTGGTGGATGTACTGTGTACTGTGGTGGATGTACTGTGTACTGTGGTGGATGTACTGTGTACTGTGGTGATGTACTGTGTACTGTGGTGGATGTACTGTGTACTGTGGTGGATGTACTGTGTACTGTGGTGGATGTACTGTGTACTGTGGTGGATGTACTGTGTACTGTGGTGGATGTACTGTGTACTGTGGTGGATGTACTGTGTACTGTGATGGATGTACTGTGTACTGTGGTGGATGTACTGTGTACTGTGGTGGATGTACTGTGTACTGTGTGTAATGTACTGTGTACTGTGATGGATGTACTGTGTACTGTGGTGGATGTACTGTGTACTGTGGTGGGTGTACTGTGTACTGTGGTGGGTGTACTGTGTACTGTGGTGGATGTACTGTGTACTGTGGTGGATGTACTGTGTACTGTGGTGGATGTACTGTGTACTGTGGTGGATGTGTAATGCGGTTGTAAACGGCCCTTCTGAGGTGCCGTCAGGGGGGGAGGAGTTAGGTCACGTGGGGGGAGAGGGGTTGAGTATAGAAGGAGGGGAACCGGAAGAGCAGGGGAAGTGACTGGGAGCCAGGAACAGAGGAAGGCCACGTAGGGCGAAGCGGGGTGTGGCGAGATCGCCACGAACACGAGAGAAGCGAGGATCGGCACCGTTGGCCAGCGGTGACCGACCCGAAGCAGCAAGGAGGCTGCAGTCAGCAGCGGGGCTGCACAGAGAGAGTGGGCAGCGGGTCTGCATACAGTGACAGCCAGAGGGTCTGCACATAGGGGTAGCAGCGAGTCTGCAGGGAGGAGGTTACAGTAGATGAAGCAGAGAGTCAGAGGGGTGAGGAAGCTATAATAGCAGTGAATAGCCGGGGGCTACAAATACAGGAGTTATAACAGAGTACCGTGTGGGTAAAGACGTGAACCTGAATAAAGACACGAAGACAGAAAGAAGTGTTCGAGTCCTTTTATTACACTGGAGTCAGAAGTGAAACGGCATGGCGAAACAACTGAGGAAGAAGAATATCCCATCTCCGGCGTCGGCTTCATCATCGGACGACGACGATCTTCCTCCTGAGGTCGGCTTCACTTCGGCGGAGGGAGAGATCCGTGAGGGCCCGGGTGTGGAGGAGGTTGCCGCTGCGCCCGACCCATCTGCGTTGAAGGACGAAGATTTAAGATGGACCCGGATGGCGGAGCAACTGGCGACCCTAAAAACCGTCATCACGGAGTTGTGTGACCTTGTCACGCCAAGGGCGGCGTTGGAAGGTGATGGTGGTGATCGGCAGGAGCCCGGGTCGTCTTCGATGGCGCCGCCATCGACCACGCGGCGTGAAGACGCCATCTTGGGCGTGGCGCACCACGGAAGGCGGGAAGCCGCCATCTTGGGGCCGCCACGAAGATCGTCCGCCATCTTGGCGACACCGCGTTGCGACGCCTTGCTGAACTTGCCGCCGGAAGAGTCGGTGACGGACGGAAGCAGGCCAAGGAGCCGCAGTCGTCACCTTACAACTGTTAAGGAGTTCTCCATCGGGGGCGATTGGAGTGCGTTCGCTTGTCGATTTTTGGCGGCGGTACGAACGGCAAGGTGGACGGACGCCGAGGCGCTGGAGGTGCTTCCGACTCTCCTTGACGATGAGTCTGTTCGTTTTTTTCGCTCTATAAAAGCTGCGAAGAAGAAAACATTGCGTGGAGTGTTCGACGAAATGGCGGACGCGTACGAGCCACCGGATGACGCCCATCGCCGCTTCGTGCAGCGGCAACGCGCACCGGAGGAGTCGCCTGTAGCGTACAGGGGCGCCGTGCTGGAACTCGCGATGGCCGCTTACCCGGAGACGGAGCCTGACCTGCTGGAACCTCTCATCTTGGGGAAGATGTTGGAGTTATCCCGGGATCTGGGCATTCCTATGCCGGCTTGCGGTCACGAGAAACTCACGTCCCGGACCGCGGCTAAGTGTTTGGACGCCCAGTTCAATCTCCGCCGCTGGAAACAAGTCACGGCGTGGACGGGCGGTCCTGTCGTCGATGGGGGGGCCGTAGGGTGGGACCCTACAAAGGCCGTGTACGTGCCGGATGCGACCGGCCCAAAGGAGCTGTCGGCCGCCTCCACTCCGTGGCCGGCTCGAAGCGAGCCGGGGCCGCGGGCTCCGCCGCCGGCGCGGCCACGTCGGGACGGGGTGCCTGCTGCGCGCCGACCCGACGTCGACTGTTTCCGCTGCGGCCGTCGGG